TGAACAAAAGATCTCAGTTCCAAGAAATTGTAGCGTGAAGTAAAATTCCGTGATGGAATGTCTGTGTGATACTAGGACTTTCCCCTTCCCTTTCAGAAACCTGAAGATGAAACAAAATATAAACAATTTCAGTACCCAGTCCTTGAGATCAGCTTTAGAAAAAAATGATGTTAACAATCATAAAATGATGTTAATGAATAAAAATAACCAAATAAAGAGTACACCACACATTCTGGCCCTAAACACAGTATGAATAAGGTAATAAAAAAAACCCCTAAGGTTTATTTACAATTCTATTAAAAACAAGTAGGGAGGAAGAAAGGCACAAAGGAAGAGATAAAGGAAGGAAAGACAAGAGGGAGAAAGTGAAGAACATATGAAGAAAGGAAAGGAAAATAATAACAAATATACATGAGTGCCTATGCTGTGTTCTACACCTGCTTAAGCGCTTTACATGGATTATATTGTAAGCTTAAGAAAATGTGTTCTGAAGTCAGGCTGTTTAAAATCCCACCTCTGCTTTTTACTGATGATATGATCTCGGTAAATTACTTACTTTGGCTGTTGCCTCAGTTTCCTGCCCAGACTGTTCTATGGTAAGACCATAATGAGCAAATATATCTAAAAAATGCTTAGTACTGAGTTTAACGTGTGGTAAGTACCTAACTAATTTTAGCCACAATTATTTTATGAAAACCTAACAATGACACTGTGAAGTTTGTAGAATTATTATTTTCGTTTTTTAGATGAAAAGTCTGAAACACAGAAAGATTAAATAATGTACTCAAGGTCACACGGATATTAATCACACAGTTATTTTCTTCCAAGAAATGCTAGTAGAAAACAAGATGTGGCATTTTAGTGCAAGCAATTAGACTCTTGAGCCTATGCTCTTAAACACTAATCTATTACAGAAAGACATGTATATACCTGTAGTAGAAGAAAATTTTAGACAACAAAAGTTTTACAACCAGAAAATTACAAAAACAAAAAAAAACCCCACAATCTATGAAACAAAAATGGAATGAAGATATTAATAAATCAATTCAATAAATATTTTTCCAGTGTCAGATACGGTTCAGTCGTGTTTTTAGCTACTGATAACTCAGCTCTGAACCAAGTAGTCTTTACTCTCACAGAATTTATTTTCTAACACAGTGTAAAATGACTTAACAAAATGAAAATGTGCCTGGTGAAGGTAGCAAAAATCTTTAAGATAAAATAAAATAAATATAATTAAAAGCCAGTAATTTTGGAGGGCTAAAGTATATCAACATATGGAAAATTGGTAACCATGGTAGAGAATATGACAAGTAGAGCAGTTAATGACTTTTGACATGATGGAAATAGTGAGAAGTTTAAGGGGATTTATATTTTTCAAGAAAAATCAGTAGAAAATAAATGTGCTGATACAATTAATAAGATTAGAGGTTTAAAATCTCTCTCATACAATATGTAGGAAAGATACAGCACTCGTATGTGAACAAAAATATTGGATTGGATTCGAGTTTTCTATACCAAAACTTCCAATTGATAGTAGAATATGTCTTCAGGGATTTGAACAAAACCAGTGGGATCAAAATAGTATGGACATTGGTTGTAATTCACGTTAAGAGAATAAGGGGTTTGTCTCATATGTGTAATGACTCAGCAGATATAACAATTTTGAAACTCCTTGATTTTGTAATCATATACACATTTTAATTATTTATAATACAATTAAATACAATATAACAATTTAGTGCATGGAGAAACCCTCTTATGAAAAGGCTGAAATAAACATTGAGTGAATTTAAATGTAGAATAGAGCTCTATGTTTGAGCAAATACAATTGTAAAATAGAAAATAAATGTTATAATTACTAAATAAAGCTTTCAGCCTCTCAACTATATATATAGAAAGTACAAGGAAAAAAAAAACCTGAGAATACTACAGAAATTGGGAAAAGGAAGAAAGGTGGTAAGACAATTGGTTTCCTACTGCCGCTATAACAAACTGCCACAACTTAGTGTCTTAAAACAACACAAATTTATCATCTTGTAGTTCTGAAGGTCAGAATTCTGAATGGCCTTCACTAGGCTAAAGTCAAGGTTTGGCAAGACCACATTTCTTTCTTAAGGCTCTGTGAAAGAATCCATTTTCTTGCCTTTCTTTTTCAGCTTCTAGAGGTTTCCCACATTCTTTGGCTCATTGCCCTTTTCTGTCACTTTATTTTATTTTGTTTTGTTTTATTGTATACTGAGCTGTGGAGTACATGTGAGGATTTACTGTATAAGTAGATTGCATGCAGGTAAGATTTGGGCTTCTAGTGAACTCTCTCTCTCCCTGGTAGTAGACCTGGTACCCAATGGGAGGTTGTGGGCCTTTATCCTCCTCCTTTCCTCCTTCCTTTGGCAGTATCCAGAGTCTGTTGTTCCCCTCTTTTTTTTATTTTAAAGATGTAGGGTGCAATTCAAGGTTAGATATACATATGGTCATTGTACAGGAAAAGTTTGGGCCTCACTTCAGTCTCCACTTTACTTGGTTTGAGATTAGGTACCCTTATTGATGAGGTGTGCCCTCCCTCCCCTGGCAGTTTCCCACCACTGCCAATTTCTTTCTTATAGTATTATGATAATTGTTCAGGGGCTGCTTATGAGTGAGAACATGTGGTACTCAGTTCTTTGTTTCTATGATAGATCACTGAGTATTACAGACTCTAAATTCATCCAAGTTGCTGTGAAGTTCATAATTTTGTCCTTTATGGCTGTGTAGTATTCCATCTTATATATGTACCACATTTTAAAAATTCAGTCTACTTTCTTTTTCTTTCTCCCAAAGTAGGAGGAGATCCTAGGAGGTTGCCCTGTCCTGTCTACTTTCGTTGGGTAGCATGGTTTTCCATGTTTTTGCTATTGTGAATAGTGCTGCAATAAGCATGCGTGCACAGTTATCTTTTTTCATAGAATGATTTGAGTTCCTCTGGGTATATTCCCGGCAGGGAGATTGCAGTGTCCATGGGAGGTCAATTTTTAGATCTTTTATGTTGTTCCCACATTTGTGCTCACCCGTTCTGTCTTTAAAGCCAGGAATGATCCATCAAAGTCTTTCTCACATATGGAATCACTCTAGTACTGACTTTCCAGGTTTCTCTCTCCCTTTTAAGGACCTCCTTATGGTCCAGGATAATCTCTCATTTTAAAATCAGATGATTAGCAACCTTAATTCTCATCTGCCATGTAACCTAAGCTATTTAGAAATTCAAGAAATTAGGACAGTGACATTTGGGAAGTCATAATGTCAACCATAAGTAGTAGAAGGTTTAAGTTTTATAGCTAAGGACAAGTATTCACTCATTTCGGAAGCAGATAAATATAGAAATATTTTACATAAATATAATTGTCCTAATTTGGAGGTTGTAAGATATTTCCTTACCATAAGATTATACATTATAAACTTATTAGATATACATGTCTTGACAAAAATATTGCTATAATGATGTGAGTTCTCATGTATTACATCAATGGGCATATGATACATTTTTGCCCCACAACTTGAAATGTTAACCTTTATCATTTAACTAAGGTAGTTTTGACAGGTTTTCCACTGGAAAGTTACACTTTTTACTTGAAATTAGTAAGTATATTGTGAATAGGTAATTTCAGACTCTATAACTATGCTCTTTCTTATCAAACTTTTGTCCACATTAAGTAGTCATTTTTAACTGTTTTCTGGAACACACTAACAGTGTGGGGAGATCAACTGTGTAACTTCACTGTCAAATTACTTTTTATTTATGGCACATATAACCTTCTGTTCAATCAACAAGAAATGCAGAAATGATAAGCAGGCTTGAGGCTGCTGTTCTTAGAAAGGCCTGCTTGCCAGTTTGACCATTTGCTTGAGTCTGGAAACTTAAATAGGAAACAGTTCTCTAGACTAATATTCAAGTTTCCTTATATGATAAGGAGGCTCACTATGCCTACACTGTACCAACAGCATGGCTTATGTTGAATAACTACTTTCCATCTGAGAGTCTGGGATTTTGATACATGCTAGAAATAAGGTTCCCACTTGACCATTCTCAAATAAAAATCATGAGTCTTGGGTCTCTAATGAGCTTCCCTGGTAGACAACACCTCACATATGTTGTCACAGCTTGTTGCTGGAGGAACTAAGCATGTCTATTGTGACTTCATTGAGAGTAGGTTCATGGGAGCTTGTGCCTAGTTTCCTGAAGTCTTCGCCATATGCACCTTTCCCATTGCTAACTTTGCTTTGTATCCTTTGCCATCTGAATATTACTTGTGAATGGACTATAAGCTGAGTCCTGTGAGTCTCTCCTATGACACACAAGAATTGATTGAGATGTCCACGTTAAAACATATAGCTTCTAAGTAGTTCATTGAGACTTTCTATGGTAATAGAATTATGCTAAGTGAAATCAAGACAATTAAGCCTAGAAATGTTTTAAGACACTTACCACATGATGGCTATGTCTGCAATAGAAGTGTATAAAAAAGAACTTTCAGTTGCCTGAGTCAAAGCAGAATAAGGCAAATACAATAAGCTGATTTCTTCAGGAGTTTGAAGACATAGGCACCCCATCTTGTTCAGATTACCAGGAAAGCTAGAGGCATGTTAGATATTATTTTAGATAAGCCTAAAATAATAGGCGAGTTGTACTAGATTACAATCCCCGGAAGCAGAGGGATGGAGAATTTTGGAAGATAAGGGAAGTATTGCAGATGTAGAGGATATGTTCCCCCAAAATGAAATATAGAGTCTATTAAGAAACAAAATATAATAGTAATTGTTATTTGTGGCACAAAGCAGAACTTTCTAATGATCTTGGTGTAAATTCTAATCATTCAAATGCCTTGTGTATAGAATGGTTTTAATGCAAAATTTATGAACTATTATTGAAGGTTCCCTCAAAATTCCACGGCATTTTGAAAGCATCCCTCTTAAGCTCAGGCACAGAATTCATATTCTACTCATTCCTAATGACAGTTTCTTCTCTGCCTCTCCTCTGTTAAGGTTCATCATGAGTGAGACACGGGACTCAAACTCTTCAGAAAGCTGGCATCCCATTTGGAGTGTTAATGACACAAAGCAGCACCTGTACTCAGATATTAATATTACCTATGTGAACTACTATCTTCACCAGCCTCAAGTGGCAGCGATCTTCATTATTTCCTACTTTCTGATCTTTTTCCTGTGCATGGTGGGAAATACCGTGGTTTGCTTTATTGTAATGAGAAACAAACATATGCACACAGTTACTAATCTCTTCATCTTAAACCTGGCCATAAGTGATTTACTAGTTGGCATATTCTGCATGCCTATCACACTGCTGGACAATATAATCGCAGGTATGTTGATTTGTGTGCAGTATAAAGATGATATGAGGAAATGTTTGTCCAATATCCCTGTCGTCATGGCAAAGTCGTTCTTTCACCCATTCATTCATTCACTCATTAACAAATATTTACAGAGGTTACCGGGAATTGCTCTAGACACGTGCCCTCATGGGGTCTACATTCTGAAGGAGAAGGCAGACAATAAATAGGTATATAATTCATCAGAGAATGAAAAGAATTATGGAGGAAAATAAAAGGAACCGAAATGAAAAGTGAGGCTGTTATTTTTGGCATGTTTACTAACGATCATCAGAGAATGAAATCTAGCATTTCTTACCTGAAGCCTTTGAATTTGCTTAATAATGTCTAGAACACACTTAATATGGAAGAAATATTACTATAAACTGTAATGTTCAAGGAATGGATACATCCGGTTTCAACTGATACAATATCTTCTATCTAACATAAAAAGAAACTTAGGCCCTCCTGTGGTTAGCTAAAGAGATTTCTCACAAATTTTGAGGGAAAATTGAACAATCTTAATGATTTTTTTCAAAAAGTAGTAGTTTACATGTACACCATAGATAAGTTAACATTACAAGAGCTAGGGAATGTCCCTATAGACTTCTGGGTCCACAGTACTCCTTTGTTAGCACTTTTTTTTTTTTCCAAGTCGGAGTCTCACTCTGTTGCCCAGGTTGGAATGCAGTGGCCTGCTCATGGCCACCTCAGCCTCGACCTGCTGGGCTCAGGTGATCCTTCCTCCTCAGCCTTCCAAGTAGCTGGAACTACAGGTATGGGCTACCACGCCCAGCTTATTTTTGTTTTACTGTAGAGATGAGGCTGATCTCGAACTTCTACCCAGACTGATCTCGAACTTCTGAGCTCAGGCAATCCTTTCACCTTGGCCTCCCAAAGTGCTGGGATTACAGGCTTGGGCCCGACTGTTAGCACTTCTTTACAAGCTCCAGAATTGCAGGAAAAATTTATCTCCAACTCCAAGTTCAGTTTGAGTGCACAGCACCAGCTTGGGAATATTGGTTGTTTTAGTTAATGAGTGGTAGTCAAGATATTCACACTCCAAATCCACACAAAAATGAAATGATAACAGCCTATCAAATATATTTAGAGCATCATGCATTATGAGCCCTAACATAGCTCTTCTCTTTTTGTAGCATTCTGCATCAGTTTACTAAAATAAGAAAAGAGGTTTCTCTTTGGAATTTCGGTGTCCTTCCTTCCTCTAGAGTGGGGTCAGGGAGAGTTCAGAGTGCCTGTTCTGTCGGTCATGTACTATATAGAGCCAAGGTTTTGTGATACTTATCATTAAAAAAAATTGTTGCTGGGCGCAGTGGCTCACACCTGTCATCCCAGTACTTTGGGAGGTGGAGGTAAGAGGATTGCCTGAACTCAGTAGTTTGAGACCAGCCTAAGCAACTTGGTGAGACTTCGTCTCTACAAAAATCAAAAAATTAACTGGGTGTGGTGGCTGACGCCTGTTGTTCCAGCTACTCAGAAAGCTGAGGTGGAAGGATCACCTGAGCCTAGCAGGTTGAGGTTACAGTGACCATGAGCATGACATTGTACACCAACCTGGGTGACAGAGTGAGACTGATCCTCTCCCCCCCAAAAAAATTGTTGGCCGGGTGGTGGCCCATGCTTGTAATCTCAGTGCTTTGGGCAGCCAAGCTGGGAGAATTGCTTGAGCCCAGGAGTTTGAGGCTGCAGTGAGCTATGGAGCTATTATCACACCACTCCACCCCAACCTAGGTGACAAAGTGAGATCTTGTCCCTAAACAAATAATCAAGTAAAAAGGTATTTATTGAGAATGTAACATTCTCAAGATACTGTGCTAGACAAGGAGAGGGTGTACAAATTGATAAAAATTATTGTTATTGTTCTCAAGTGAGTTATTTTGCCAATAAGAAGTGCTTTCAATATTTTCTCCCATAAATATTTTAAAATTAAATTGTTATTTTACAATTTTTGCACATAGATTACTCCTTCTTGCCTCTTGGTTTTCAATTTCAGAAGGCACCCACTGTCAGCACTTTTTGCCTTCATTTTTGGTAATTGCTACCATATTTCTTAGTAACATTTAAAAAATATATTGTCTTCAAACCGTAGTAGATATAAATTTAGTTCTCATAATCCTCTTCCACCACATAAACACAAACATACATTCACATTCTTCAGCTTTTCTCATTCTCCCATTATAATTATACCATCATTTTTGCTGAAATCAATATTCAGAGTATACATTCCTATTTTATATGCATTTAACCTCTGCTGAGCCCTGAAAAATGCTATGATATCAATTTCTCTCATATTTTTTTTCCCTAGATTTACTAAGGGTATATTTTGATGGGCTTAGTTGTGGGTGTGTACCTATCATTAATATGTCCTCAAACTCTCTTTCAGGAGTGTTATATTCTTGTCAATATCTTTAAACATATCAACCTATAAAATGCATCTTTTTTCTTGGAGGTACCTCTCTTGGTGCTTTTTGTCCTCCTGTTCCTCTTCATACACGTTACTCTCCCAGCATGGAACTCAGCTACTGCTCTGGGATATTCCGTCACAGATACACTAACAATTGTCTTCACCTCTTTGTGTACTCATTGCCCCACTTTCTGGATGCTATATCTTTCTTGTTTTGTTTTGTTTTCTCCTGTGAAACAGACTTTGGAATGAAATGTATTTTTGGGTCTTATACACCTGCTAAAGTATCTTTATTCTATCCTCAATATTTTATTAGTTAGCTGCATGGAGAATTCTAGGTGGCAATTTTCTTCCCTCAGAATTGTGAAGGGATTTCGGTGTTGTGACTGCTGTGAAATGTGATGCGACTACTGAAAAGTCTGATGCCATTTAATTCCTGCTTCTTTTGATTATAATCTATATTTTGGTTTTTTTGGACTGAAAGCTTTTAGAGCTTTCCTTTATCCCTAGTGTTCTGAATTTCATGAAAGTATGCCTTGGATTTAGTCTTTTTGTTTTTCATTTATCATGCAGGACACAAATTAGGCCCTTTCCATCAGAAAATGAATGCCCTGCAATCCAGGAGATTTTTCTTGTAGCATTCTTTTCTGTTTTCCTTTCTTCTACTCATATGAGTCAGATATTGGAGATTCTGAGTTGCCTTTTTCAAAAAAAATCTTTTCTCTTCCATGTTTGTGCCCCTTATTGTTCTATTTTCAAAGATTTTCTTAGCTTCCTTCCAAACTTTATGCTGCATTCCTCATTTTTGTCATCATATCTTAAATTCCTTGAGTTCTTTTTATTTTCTGCATGTTTCTTATACTACCATGCATATCACGTGCTCTATAGGTAAAATATGTTATAAAATAAGTTATATCTCTGAGGTTATTTGCAATATTTCTGTTTGGTTTCCATTTTTTCATCTGTTTGATGCCTGTCAGTTTTCCCAGAAGTGTCTGTTTATTCTTGCTTCCTTTTCTAGTACTTGAGGTTCTGCTAGTGGTAATTGCTACTTAGCTGCTTGCACTTATGTGGCTGCCTGGAAGTTATGCATGCCTGAGATTAAGGTTAGGACAACTAGCCACTTGTTACTTTGGGCTGTTCACTGAGTAATCTATCACTGTCAAAATCTGCATGTCAGTGTTCTTGAATAGGCTGTTTTCCCCAGAAGGAAATTCTCTGATCTCCTGCTGTGGGGATGGAAGGCCAGCTGCTGCATTCTACTCTGGAGCTGAGTGGGTCTCTGGGCAGGTTTTGCTGTGCAAGGGTGATGTACCTTCACTTTTGCTGTGCAGGGGAATGAGGTACTTTCACGCAATCCTTCTGTGTCACTCGAACACTCATCACCCCTGCTTCTGGTGACTTATAGTCGTAGCACATGGAGTTCACCTTCCCAGAGAGTAAATTTCCATTCCTCTGTCGGCATGGGAGAAAAATCAGCAGCATCTGATTGGATTTATACATAATTTTCCATCAATCATGTTGTCCTCCCAAATTCTCATTCAGCAGTACCTGATGCCTCAGTTTCTGTGGATTTGTACTCTTTTGTCCTAGAGTTGTCATTTCAGTGGGGTTTTATGAGGGAGATACCATGAAACATATGCTTATTCTTCCATGTTCCACCATGGGCTACACACACCTTTTGCATTTTTTGTTGAAAAACAATACTGTCACAACCTAACAAATTTTAGGACTGGGAAAACATATTCTCTTTTAGTTTTCTTTCAGTAGAGTCACCCAAGGTCTTATTTTAAAATGGTCTAGATAGGTGGTTTTAAAAACATATATACTTGGGTATTTAGGTTATTTAAGATCTTTTAAATTAGCTGGGAATATTTCATTTTTGAAAAATTGAAATAAATTGCATGGTTTTTTAAAAAAGATAAATATTAAAAGTCAGAGAAATGTGCGGCATTCATCTTTTGAGAAAATAGAATATTTACTTAGGGAAGAACCTTGTTACTTTACCATATTAGCAAATGAGTGCTTAGAATATCAAATTGCGATAGTAATTTTACTAATTTCTTTCATAAACTTTGTTGTAGCTAAGGTTTAGTTAGGAAGTAATTCCAATAGACTATTTTTGTTCATACAAAGTACTCTTTGATCTGAAAGTGCCTCTGAGGTAAATTTACTAATTATATTCTATGTAAACCAATATAGCTTATTTATTTTGTACATAACTCCTGATTTCAATAAAAGTCATAATTGTATGAAGGTCAATAGTTTGTAATCTGGAACCCACAACCAAGGTTCAAGTCCTTAATATGCTGGTAAATATCTGTGGTAAGATATGTGGTCTTTGTCTGTTTGTTACGTTGTCTATATTGCAAGAGAATAATAAAGTCTTTGAATGCATGTTATGTAGATTAGAAATGTTAATAGATACAAACCACTTATTATAGTGCGTAGAATGTAGTAACTGCCATATAAGTTTTGACATTACTGTTAGTGTATTGAAAAACAGAGTTCTAGAGATATTAGGGAAAAATGCTAAGAACATTGATTGTCCTCTGGCATTCATTTAGTAAACAGTTGCATTGATCTTGATTTCACACCTTCTGTTTATATTTTCAGTGAGGTTTTAAATACATATAATCTTTTGAAAGACTGTTGCTTTTCAGTCTTATATTTTCAGTGAGATTTAAAAAATATATAATCTTTTGAAAGACTGTTCCTTTTCTCTTTCAGGATGGCCATTTGGAAATACAATGTGCAAGATTAGTGGACTGGTCCAGGGAATATCAGTAGCAGCTTCCGTCTTTACATTAGTTGCAATAGCAGTGGATAGGTAAGTCAGCAGCAAACTCCAAATCCAGAAAAATGGGCATGTCTTCAAGCAATCCACCTGAAAAATATGTGACCTACTATATATTCACATATCTTCTCCAAAATGTGTTACTAATATCTACCTCTTTAAGAGCATGGTATATACCTACTAAAGGTTTGGTAATAAAATAAAACTATTGAATTTTTATTCTTCACATTTAAAATTTAAATAATTAGGTATGGTACAATTTTACTATTTTCACATTAGAATCTAGAATTTTCTAAATGGAAATGCAAATGTGCTGAAATAACTCTGAAATTTTATCTAGATTTTAAAATTAAAAAACATTCATCCATTTATTCATTTAGACACTTTGTTGAGAGTTTATGACAAGCCAAGTGTGTAACATCTAAAACAAATTAGATGAGATGCTGCCTCAGGAAGTCTACAATCTGGTAGCATAGACACACTCATTAAAAAAATTTATGAATAATGCTATCGAATGCAGGTTCAGTTAATAACAGCTATACAAAAGAGAAAATAACCAATTCTACCTGTCAGGACAAATAAGTGGGTTCACAGAAGAGGTGAGACCAGTCTAAATCTTGAGGAATCAGAAATTTGTTTTGGAAAGAAGTTGGAGGAAGCGTATCTTGGAAGATTAACATATACATAGAGCACCTGAAATGGAGAGCACTTGTCCAGAGACGTGCAGAGAGGTAGTTCAACTGGAGCAGCAAAGGCAGAGTGGCACGCTGGGCCACAAAAGGAGGCAAACAGAGATTTTCAACAGGCTTATCTTCCACTTTAAGGAGTGTAAACTTTGTTCAGATCATGGCAGAAAGCTGTGAAAGTCTTTTTTTTTTTTAATTTTTATTATAAAGATGTGGGTTACAATTTAGGGTTTGGTATACAAACATTGATCGTGCAGGTACCCCTGTTAATGAGGTGTGCCCCTCCTACTCCTAGCAATTTTCCTCAACTGCCAATCCCACCCACCACCCCCAACAACAGTTTCCCATTATTGTCAATTGCTTTTTTATAGCATTATAATTGTTCAAGGTCCTCTTATGAGTGAGAACATATGGAAATCTGTTCTTTGTTTCTGTGATAAATCACTGAATATGATCAACTCCAAATCCATCCAGGTTGCCGCAAAGTTCATATATTTGTCGTTCTTTATGGCTACAAGATATTCCATTGTGTATGTGTATCACATTTTTAAAATCCAGTCCAGCTTCGATGGGCAACGTGGTTGGTTCCATGTTTTTGCTATTGTGAATAGAGCTACAACAAACATACGTGTGCAGGTATCTTCTTTGTAGAATAATTTCAGTTCTTCCAGGTATATTCTCAATAGGGGAATTGCTGGGTCATGTGGAAGGTAAATTTCTAGTTCTTTCAGAAATCTCCAGACTGTTTTCCAGAGAGGTTGTACAAGTTTGCATTCCCACCAGCAGTGTAGAAGCACTCCTTTTTCTCCACATCCTCGCCAGCATCTGTTGTTGTTTGTTTTATTAATGATGGCAATTTTTAAGGGGTTAGGTGGTATCTCAATGTGGTTTTGATTTGCATTTCTCTGATGATGAGGGAGGATGAGCACTTTTTGCATGCGTCTGTTGGCTGCCCGTATATCTTCTTTTGAGAAGTGTCTATTCATGTATTTTGCTCACTTTTTAAAGGGGTTGTTTGTTTTTTTCCCTTCGGTGCGTTTGAGTTCCTTGTAGATCCTGGATGTTAGGCCTTTGTCAGATACACAGTTAGCAAATATTTTTCCCATTCTGTGGGCTGTCTTCCTGCTCTCTTGATGGTTTCTTTTGCTTTGCAGAAGCTTGTTAATTTGATGAGGTTCCACTTATCTATCTTATTTCTTAAGGTTTTGGCCTTTAGGGTTCTGAGAAGAAATTGGTTCCCAGTTCCAATTTCCATAAGTGTGTCTCCTGTGTTTTCTAAGATTCTTATAGTTTGAGGTTTTACGTTTAGGTCTTTGATCCATTTAGAGTTGATTTTTGTGTATGGTGATAGGTAGGGGTCCTGTTTCCATCTTCTGCATGTGATCAGCCAGTTTTCCCAGCAGTCTTTACTGAATAGATTTTCCTCTCCCCAGTCATTGTTTTTGGAGGTTTTGTTAAAGATGAGTTGGTTGAGGAATTGACGCTTTGCTTCTGGAATCTCTATCCTGCTTCATTGCTCTATGTGCCTGTTTTTATACCAATACCAGGCTATTTTGATTACTGTAGCCTCATAGTAGAATTTGAAGTCTGAAAGTGTGATACCTCCTGCTTTGTTTCTCTTGCTAAGGATTGTTTTGGCTATTCATGGTCGTTTATGTTTCCATATGAATTTTTGTATTGTCACTTCCTAGTCTGAGAAGAATGATGTTGGTAACGTATGGGTATTGTGTTGAATATGTAGATTGTCTTTGGACGGATGGACATCTTAACAACGTTGATTCTTCCTATCCATGAGCATGGTATATTTTTCCATTTGTTTGTGTCTTCTTGGATTTCTTTGAGCAGTGTTTTGTAGTCCTCATTGTAAAGGTCTTTCACTCCTCTGGTTAGGAAGATGCCGAGGTATTTCATTTTTTTGGTGGCTATTGTAAATGGGATTGTACTTTTCATTCGGTTCTCTGCCTGCTTTTTGTTGGTATATAGGAATGCAATTGACTTTTGCGTGTTTATTTTGTACCCTGAGACTTTGCCAAAGTCCTTTATCAGTGTCAGTAGGTTTTTGACAGATCCTCTTGGATGTTCAAGGTCTAGAATCATATCATCAGCAAAGAGGGATAACTTGACTTCCTCTTTTCCTATTTAGATAACCCTGATTGTCTTTTCTTGCCTAATTGCCTGTGCTAGGACTTCCATCACAATATTGAACAAGAGGGGTGAGAGTGGGCAGCCTGTCTTTATCCAGTTTTCATGGAAAATGCTTCTAGTTTCTGTCCATTTAGCAATATGTTAGCTGTGGGTTTGTCATAAATGGCACTTACTATTTTGGGGTATGTTCCTTCTATACCTAGGTATTTGAGGGCTTTTATCAAGAAGGGATGCTGGATTTTATCAAAAGGTTTTTCTGCATCTAATGAGATAATCATGTGGTTCTTGTTTTTACATCTGTTGAAATATTTAATTACATTTATGGTCTTGTGACTATTGAACCAGCCCTGCATCTTGGGGATGAAGCCTACTTGATCATGGTGGATGATTTTTGAGATGTGTTTTTGGAACCAATTTGCTAGAATTTTGTTGAGGATTTTTATATCTATTTTCATAAGGGATATTGGTGTGTAGTTCTCTTTCTTTGTTGCATCTTTACCCAGTTTGGGTATCAGTGTAATGTTAGCTTTGCAAAATGATTTGGGGAGAATTCCATCTTTCTCAATTGCCTGGAATACTTTCAATAGGATTGGTATCAGCTCTTCCTTGCATGTTTTGTAGAATTCTGCTGGAAAGTCATCCAGTTCAGGTCTTTTTTTGGTAGGTAGTTTTTGTATGACAGAGTCAGTTTCCTGGATTGTTATTGATCTATTTAGCATCTCAATGTCTTCTTGTTTCAAACTGGGTAGGTTGTATGATGTCAGAAAGTCTTCCATTTCATCTAGGTTATCAAGTTTTTTCCATATAGGTGTACATAGTAATTTCTGATAATCTTTTGTATTTCTTCAGGGTCAATTGTGATTTGATCTTTTGTATTTCTGATTGTGTTTATTTGGGCTTTTTTCTCTCTTTTTCTTGGTCAGCCTGGCTAGGGGCCCATCAATCTTGTTAATTCTTTCAAAGAACCAGCTTTTTGTTTTGTTGATGTTTTCTATGATATTTTTGTCTTGTATATCCCGTATTTGGGCTCTTATTTTTGTGATTTGGGGTCTTGTGCTAAAGTTGGGGTTTTGGTGGTCTTCTCTTTCTAGCTTCCTTAGGTGATTTGTTAGGCTCTCCACTTGTGATCTTTCCATTTTCTTGATGTGTGCTCGTAGGGATATAAATTCCCCTCTTAAAACTGATTTTATGGCATCCCAGAGGTTTTGGTAAGATGTTTCTTCATTTTCATTTGTTTTCAGGAATCTATTACTTTCTTCTTTGATTTCAGTGTTGACCAAGTCATTGTTCAGCATCATGCTGTTTGGTGTCCATGTCTTTGTGGATGTGGGGGAAACTTTGTTGGTGTTGATATTTATTTTTATTCCACTGTGTTCTGAAAAGGTACATGGCAAGATTTGAATCTTGTGAAATTTGTTTACATTTTGTTTATGGCCAATGATGTAGTCGATCTTGGAGTATATTCCATGTGGTGGTGAGTAGAATGTATATTCTGTGGTCTTTGGGTGGAGGGTTCTGTAAGTATCAATTAAGCCCATTTGTTCAAAGGTCTCATTGAGGTTCTGGGTGTACTTGCTGATTTTTTGTCTTGATGATCTGTCAAGGGTTGTGAGGTATCAAAGTCCCGAGCTATGATAGTGTTAGAGTCAATCTCTTTTATAAGTTTGCCTAGAAGCTGCTTTATGAACATTTGTGCTCCTATGTTAGGTGCATATTTGTTTAGGATGGATATTTCTTGTTGATGGATCAAAACTTTTATCATTATATAATGAACTTCTTCATCTTTTTTGATTTTTGATAGCTTAAAGTGTATTTTTTTCTGAGATTAAGATTGGAACTCCAGCTTTCTTTTGTGTTCCACTTGCCTGAAAATTTGTTTCCCATCCTCTTACTTATCTCACCAGAAAGGACTGTGACTGTCCTTTCTGGTGAGATGAGTCTCTTGGAGACAATATATTGTTACCTCATGATATTTTATCCATTTTGTCATTTTGTGTCTTTTTGGTGGTGTATTTAGTCCATTCATATTCAGGCTAACTACTGAAATGTGAGGGTTTATCTTTGTCATGATGTTCTTATAGAATTGTACTTGTTTGTTTGTTGTCTTTCTTTTGGTTTTAGGGGTTGGTTCATGTGTGTTTTCAATCTTTTTCCTGCACGCTTGTGAAGAAAATTGTTCTTTTCCCCTTTTTATCTTAAGAG